GAGCCGGGAGGCAGCCAGGCACCGGGGCTGTGACCTGGGGACGGTGCTTGCGGCCGCTGCCTTGCAAAGCGCCGCCTGACCCCTCCTTTGCAAGCGCGCTCCAGTTGCCCGCACGCGGGGGGGGGGCTGTGTGCTGGGGACCGGGTCTGGATCCAGTTCTGAAACAGGACAGCCCCGCCTCCCCCTCGGAGGTCACCGGCAGCCCGAGCCTTTGGATTGCCTGGGCGCTTTCCAAGGTCGCGCGGGGATGTCCTTAGTTGCAGGCCACGCATCCTCTCGCTGTAGGAGCCCCTCTCCACCTGCTGAGCGCCTCTTGCAGGCAGCACGCAGTGGGGTTAAGAGGCGGCTATAAAGGGTCCTGAAACAGGACAGCCCCGCCTCCCCCTCGGAGGTCACCGGCAGCCCGAGCCTTTGGATTGCCTGGGCGCTTTCCAAGGTCGCGCGGGGATGTCCTTAGTTGCAGGCCACGCATCCTCTCGCTGTAGGAGCCCCTCTCCACCTGCTGAGCGCCTCTTGCAGGCAGCACGCAGTGGGGTTAAGAGGCGGCTATAAAGGGTCTCGCAGACAAAGCTTTACTGTATTTACTCCGAATCGAGGCGGTGCGGGCAAATTTCTGCTCTGCAGCAACTGAGAGCGTTGTGTTGGACTTTGGAAGGGCAAGGTCATGCCTGGCACAGGAGGAGACTTTAGCACAGGAGCAAAACTGTCTGCTCCCAAAGCAGAGCAGCACCGTGTTAGGAACAGGAAATGTTACTAAGTCTGGGACCAGGGAAGGGGCGAGGGATTTGCAAGGCTACATTTTCTATTGCTAGAAAATGTAGCCTTGCAAATAACAAACTCCCAAATAACAACACCCTAATGCTGGTGTTGGCTGTGTACCTATTGGGCACTGAGTGAACTGTTGCTAATGCCCACAGTGGAGTAGCCAAGACTGTACAATTCTCCTTTGTCCCATCAGTATATTGAAATTCAGGCTGTACAGTTTTATTTTTATTTTGTATCTTTCTCTACTCTTCTCTCCCCCCTTCTCCCCCCCCCAAAATAGCCCTCTGTTTCTTCATCTTAGTTTCAGCACGAAACTGAAAGTCCACTTCCTGTATGTGTCTGCTGTTTAGCTTCCTCACCCTCTGATAGGGCATTTGAGAACTCTTCAGTGCTGTGTTTCTAGCATTATATAAGTGGTTTTTATCTTCTGTCAGTTAAAGAGCTTTGTTAAGGCTGACTTTTTTTTTGTTAAGGTGAAGTATGGACAATATCTGTACAATAGTGATAGAAATTGAGGTGAGATGGAAAACTATGAAAGCTCCTGGGAATGAGTGTGGCTTTGTAATAAGCACAGAAAATAATCCATTTGGTTTTGCTTTCTCACTTTGCTTTTGGGTTTTGTCCCCACAGTTGCTGTTGAGACGTTAAATAATGCATTTCGAGATTGAGGAAAACTAGTTTGCTTCAACTGTCTTTAAAATGTTCAGTTCAAAGGCAATTGCTGTTGAGACGTTAAATAATGCATCTCGAGATTGAGGAAAACTACTTTGCTTCAACTGTCTTTAAAATGTTCAGTTCAAAGAGTCTGTGATTTAACTAGGAAGAAACTTTGTACTAAAACGCTTTGAAAAAACACTGAATTTTTAAATTGATTAAAAGCAAAATACATATATTGAAAACTATACTTGTATCACATAATATAAAGTGTTTCCAAAATAATAAATGCCAGAAACACTTTTTCAGTAGTCCAAAACTGCTTTTCCAGCTCCAGACCTCACGTAAACAAACTTGAGACTTTTTGGTATGTGGCTACTATCTCTTCCTGTCACACAGATTTCTGAGTTTTTGGCAGCTTTGTTTGTTTAAAAATACTTCCATCAAGTTTTAGGGTGGCCTGTTTTTCCTTTATTTGGTCTATTTGTACTCTGCTTAAGGGAAAGACGTTTACCATTCTGGTTCCTTGTCTTTCATCCCTGTGGCGTTGTTCCAGTTTTTGTGCTTTGTGTTGGGTTCCTGTACAGTTCCACTCTACAAGCTTATATGGTTGGGCAATGCCTACACTTCGAAGTTCTGCCGACGAAAGTGCTGTAGACATGCAAAAGTCACCAAAAGTGAAAACCGGTCAAACTGTGTGTGGTGTGTGTGGGGTTTTTTTTGTTTTTTTTTTTTGTTTGTTTTGCCTCCCATTGTTGATGTTTCATGGCCACGTTGCTAGCACCCAGTCGACAGAGCAAAGCATTGTAGGTAAACATCCGACAGTGCAGTGTTGTGGGAAGGCAGAGCTGATCCCTATGCTTCTTGGGATTCTCTCGTAGTTCTGTGAGCTCTCCGTGCTAAGTAGATTCAAAGCACACTGCAATTTCTCCAGCCTTCCCCCTACTGTGTTCCTAGCAGGACAGAAAAGGAGCACACTAATGATTTGCTCTTTGTTTACTCTCAAAACAGAGCAGCTCACTCAGCTGTCAGATACTTCCCAGAGCTTTGAAAGGGGAGGGGCACGTGCCTGCAGGGCAGCAGAGATCACAAAACACTGAGCAACGCCATCAGGGCTGTCATTGTGGGATGCTAGTGGAAGCCAATTTTCTGGACCAAACAAACAGCAAAGCCCACACTGGCTCTCTGCTGACAATAAAGGGAGGGAGAAAAGGGGAAAAAAAATCTCACTGGAAGCATTTTGTTGCCAAAACTCTGTGTGTGTGGTTTTGGGTTTTTTCCCCAACAAAAGTTGCATTGCAGTGTAAATGTTCTCACTGTTTTGTTGCCAAAAGGCAGTTTTTGGCAGCAAAACATGCCAGTGTAGACAAGGCCTTGGAGTCTTTCACATCCACTTAGGCACCCAGCTGGTTGTTTACTGGGTTGTCATAATCTGCAGATACTGAAATTTTGGCCATTAATAGAAATGGAAAAATCATGGCATGCATTACTCCTGTGAGTTGTCATGACAACCACTGAATCTATAAATGCAGTGTGATGGGTTGAAATCACAACTTCCCTAAGGCTTGTTTCCTGATGTGCTGATCATGCCACTGACACCCACCTATTTGTTCTTTGTGGGGCCTAAATATTCTTGTTTTCCCTGGACAAGGCAGAGTTGGGGTTACTGCTTGTCATGATTGAGGGTTAGCAAGCAGCCTGGGGAGTAAGGGGTTAACTACACCTAGCCAGGTGAAGTGGCCAATAGGAATGTAGGTAGGAATTTCAAACTGGGACAAAGGAATGTGGGGTTTCTCCTCCTTTGTCTCTAGGAGTTCTTCGGCAGCTACGGAGAGAGGCAGACAGACATGCCTCTCTCCCCAAGAAACAATTCTTCACTTTCTGTAAGTAGGGTAAAGTTTAGATAAATCCGTCAGGTTTTATTGTTTTAAGGTGTGGCTATGGGATCTGCTGTCTGTGCACTATTTAGGAAATGTTTTGGCTTTTCTTTATAACTAAGTTCTAGGCCCCTGAAGGTTCTCCACGAGTATATTTTTGTTACTATGCTATCTAGTCACGATGCTTGCAACAGGAATATTGTGGTAATAATTTATCTTTTTTCTTTTTATTAACCTAGCATTGGTTAATTGTGTGCCCTGATTTTTATTTTAGGGGTGAGATTTCGCAAATGGTCTCTCCCCTGGTCTATTTGTTAATATTTGGGTGGTGGCAGCGGAAATTCTATTCCCCCAAAATCTTAAAACCCTAGATTTTGGGAAGTTTTATGTCAAAGCCTGGTAGATAAGGCTTTGGGGTATACTTGCTGGCCCCCACTTCTGCATTTATCATGCCAGAGTAGGGAAGGAGCCATGACACTGCTCTTCCCCCAACTCCGTGGCGGAGCAGCACAGACATTGAACTGGTATAGCTCTGAGAGAACTTAGTTTTGAAGGCACCCAGGAAACTAACCCCAAATATATCATTCCTAATCTGTGTAAAAGTTTTACGCAGAGAGAGCTTATAAGGTCCACCCCCTTTATCAATGAAAGAGAAACAAGTGGTTGCTTCCCACCCCAACAATTATTTACACTGGGCTTGATAAGAAACAAAAATGTTTTTATTAAATTCTACATTTTATATTAAAGTAGTTGCAAGTGAAATCCATCAGATTAAAGTAAATTACTAAATTAAAACAAACTGCTTAGCTAGTTTTAATTCACTAAGGGTGCATCTACACTGCGCCGTAACTTTAAATAAGATATACAGTTTGAGCAACACAAATAGCGTATCTTATTTCAATGCTATTTTGAAACAGCTCATTTTGTCATTTGGCACTGTCTACACAGCGCCACATTTTGAAATAAAGCGCTATTCCAAAAGGTCCCTTATTCCTCGTAGAATAAGGTTTATAGAGACTTTGGAATAGCAAGCCTGAAATAATGGGCTTGCTGCGAAGACATGGGATAGCTATACTGGCACTGCAGTGTAGAAGTACCCTGGGAAACTTGTTAAATGCAAATTCTTACCCTAAACAGCTCGTCTTATTTCTAGTAAAAGCTTCAAATTACAGTTGATCTTTAACTTTGACTTGAATTTATAGCTTCTTCAAAGTTCTTTTAAAACTGCCTGGCACACCTAAGAAGATACATAAGTTAGCAGAAGACAAAAGCCAATTGTTTCCCTTTGTTTAAACAGACTTTCCCTCGGGGTGGGATTCTACCACAGACAGAGGCTACTGGAGCAGCCCCTGTTTGTTGGGTGCCCTGGTCCGCCTCAGGCAGGGGCTATTCTAGCCTGCCCAGCTCCCCTGTGGGCCTGGAGCAGCCTCCCTGACCACAGCTGGTGGCAAGCTGCTCCAGCCCCCACTGGTTAAGGGAAGCCTCATCTGTTAAGGCTGAGGCTAATTGGTTAAACATTCCCATCTCTGCTTTTAATATAGCTTATGAGGGTTCAAATGCTCCCTCAGAATGGGGTTTCCACATGGCCAAATCCTTTGCTGAAAGTTTTGCTTTGTAAATTAACCAAATCCAAATAGTTTCGATATTGTCTTGAAATGTTTGAATGACTTCTGTTTTTTAAAAAAAAAAATCATTGTGCAAGTAGTTCGTTACCAGATAGTATCTTCTCTTTGGTATCCTACAATTGTTCTTAGACGTTGGATGGAATGCTAAAGAGAGAGATTTCTGTGATTGAATCTTAGGGCAACAGGAGGTAGTCAGCATGCTTGACTGTTTGTTGTATGTTGTTCATGGCTGCACTGTCTTCCAGAGACTGTACTTGTGTGGCAATAGTGTTTACTATGTGAGTAACTGTTGGTAGCATATTACATGGTCCTCCTCTGTGCTGTACTGCAGAGGATATGAGTCTGTCATAGCTCCAGCTAGCGCGATTCGGCCATGCTTTCTGCTCCGGAAATCCCCAGTTCAGTCCCTGGTCTGTCGGCCACGATAACAGCCACTGCAATTGCGTATCCAGGATGCTCCCTTTGTGGATCTGGCAATGTTCTCTGTGACAATTCCTCTTTCTCCCCACCCCGAAAGCTTTATGGATTTGGCTTATGACTATAAATATGTACAACTTGGAGATGCTTTGGACAAGATACCTCATGTCACCTATCAATTTTAATGTCACAATCTGCTGGCTCTGAATACAGGTGACCCCCTCACTTATGACCTAATTGGTTCTTGGAGAACCATCGTAAGTCAAGTCATAAGTCAAACCCTTATTTCCCATAGGAATCTTTCCAGTCAAATTCTTCTTAAGTTCATATTGTATTGTTAATTTTAGTTCTTAAATACAACTGCAATCAGTGACTGACCAGAGGCCCAATAAAAAATAGGTATAGTTCTTAAATACAATGCAATCAGTCTTAAGTGACTGACCAGAGGCCCAATAAAAAATAGGTACTTAGAAGAGGTGGTTTTTAATTACGGGGCAAGCCCCATTATAGTGGAGACTATGAGGCTATGTTAAAATGGTTGTTTAGGACATGGAGTGGTTTATTGTATAATGAAGGGTCATCCTTAGTACAGGCATCTCCCTCTTTGCATTGGCTTAATTCATGAAACAGATGTACGTGACTTGTTTTCATGTGTGGTTTTTTATTGTTTTTGTTTTGTTTAATGTCAAAGCTGACTTTGTTTTCTCTCTGTTTTTTAATAGCTAAAAGCTGATGTGGTCCCAAAGACAGCTGGTAAGAAAATATGTAGAAAGCTTTGATTTGTGATATTAATATTTATAGTGGAGTTTGTTTAAAGTAAAAATGTCATGTTCTCCAATTTTATTCAAAATTAAAGCTTTTGAGAAACTTAAATTAGCTCAGTAGCTGGTTGGAAAATAGGAAAATATTCACCTGCTTTTCATTTTTTTTTCTCTGACATAGGCAAAGAAGTGATGTGTTTTGGTTACCAATATAGGACAAAAAAATTAAAACATGCACTTCTTTCACTGAAATCCAAAGCACAATTGGAGGAATTGTGCAGCGGGGATGGTGTGGTTGGAAGATTGGTGATGGGATATAGCAATGTTAAAAGGTTAACCAGTAAGCATATGCCTTGGCGGCATGCTTACCGATTAACCGGAGGCCCCTCCCTATGTCAGCCCAGCCGGCAGAACCATGGCTGCAACAGGGTAGGAGCAGCCCCCCCGCTGCCTGTAGTAGTTGGTTAACTGGTTAAACAAATTGTGTAACCGGATAACTATTCTGGGTGGTTGTTTTTATATTCCTAATGGGATATACAGGAAACCCCCTGAGTTGCGACTCCTTCCTCCTCCTGCCCCCCTCCCCGCCCCGGCACTTACAACTATTTTTTAAAGTGTGGAACAGGCCAACCCCCGCCCTCCCCCGACTTACATCCTCGGCTCGCATTTACGATGGCGCACGGCACCTATCGTCAATGAAGGTTTAGGGTTGCCTGTAGACTTTCTCTTTCACCTCTAGGCTGGTTTCAATCCTCCTACCCTGTTACTGATCAAAAGATGTTCTTTGAGGGCTCTTCAGTGGCTCATGTGAACTTGAAGTCTTTGAAGTGTGATTTGAGAACTTCTGTGACTCAGCCAGAGGTTATAGGAGTGGGTATGTGACCTGCAGTGTGCAAGAGTCAGACTGGGTGATCATGGTCCCTTCTGACCTTTGGCTATGAATTGGTTATCTTGGTCCACTTCCTAGTAGATGAGTGTCCATAGGGGAAATACCCACTTTCACAGCTGGTAGTGACGGCAAAGGTGAAAGAGGCCTGGAGACTGAACTCACCCCTAGGAGTGCTGTTTCAAGCTGAGATTCAGGAAAAGTCTACACCATAAAATTCAGTAGACCTATTTTAATGCACAGCCACTGCAATAATAGAATTTCTTTTGCACATCCAAACTACTCTCCTTGTGTCAGTGGTCTGTGTCCTCACCAGGACCCATTGCACAGATTTAAGGACAATGTAGGGCGTTGTGGGACGGCTTCTGAAAAGCAGCAACAGTTGATCTTGTGTCCTCACCAGTACCCATTGTACAGATTTAAAGACAATGTAGGGCATTGTGGGACGGCTTCTGAAAAGCAGCAACAGTTGATCTAAGTAACACATTGTAACAACCTCAGAGCTACATCCCTCAGAAAAGCAGAGTGAAGTTTGTGTAGCGGGTGGGTTACATCGTCTGGAGCTGCATTTTAGCATAGGCACTTAGGTTGACACGCTGCTTTATGTCCACCTAACTCTGCAGTGTACGCCAGGCTGAAGAAATGCAAGTGAAATGAGAACTTTCAGGTACCTGTTAGGGATGTAACTGTTTAATCAGTTTCCGTTACGGTTACATGATGGCTCCCAGCTCCACTCCTGGGGAGCTAGCTATCGCCCTGCGCTTGTGGCTCTTTATCAGAGCCTGCAGCTTGGGGCAGCAGCTGCTGGCCCCACTTTCGGGGAGCCGGCTGCGCTGAAAGTTCTGTGATATAAGCTTTATACTGCAGAGCCCGCAGCATGTAACTGTGTGACCACTAAGATGTTTTTAAGTTACGTTAACAACAATTTTTTTTACATCCCTAGCACCTATAATACTGTTCAGTAGTGCAGTAATCCAACTCTGAGGCACTCTGTGAGCACTTTCCACTAATACAAAGGTCTCAAATATGCACAATATGAGAACTTAAAAAAATGCAATGCCCAACAGGAATAGAAAGTCCTATTCATTTTTTTAAAGCAAATGGATATTAAAAAGCACTGACGTGGGACCTATATTACCCTCCAGTTTTATTTTATGAGGCACTGTATATTGCTGATGTTATGGGATAGTCTTTAATATGCGTTTTTGTTTTATCAGAAAATTTCAGAGCTCTTTGTACCGGTGAAAAGGGTTTCGGGTATAAAGGATCCACCTTTCACAGAGTGATTCCCTCATTTATGTGCCAGGTAATATAACTTGTGGTATTGTCACCAAACTTTTATATGAAAAATATTATGAATTCTGGTATCTTATTAAAAATAATTTTTGTTTGTATTTCAACACCAGTTGAACACTGCTTTTTAAATAGGTTTGCTGTGCACCCTTTTAACAGCAGAAGGAAGATATGACAAATGCCTTGCATTTCTGAGCCTGTCGCTATGGCTATGGTGTGGTGTAGCACATCCCTTTGTATAAGTAAAAGCAAATTCCAGACTGCTTTAGAAATCCTGACTTGGGGATCTGTGCTTTTGTGTAGTGATATGTTTTAACAAGTGGCATGCTCAGTAAAATGACTCTTGGTTAGGAAAACAGTCTGTGTGTAGAATTATAATCAGTGCGTTGTAGCACACACGAGATAAAAGAACAACACACCCATTCGTTCTTTGCTGACAACATCTTGTTAAGCTGTATTGTACTTACTATTGATATATAGGTATTGAAAACAAAACAATTACAGGTTTTCTTATGAGCAACTCACCTGTGGGAGGTAGGGCAGGAGAACTCCCTGTGTGTTTTCCAAGTAAACAGGCTGAGTCACTAAAAGAACACTTGGTATCTTAAGAGGTTCTGAAAGTGGCAATTGCCTCTAATTTGAAGCCTGAGTCATTGTAAATGCCTATAAATAATACACAGACGTGACCGTGATCCTGGCTTTTAAAAAAGTGTGTGCACATGCTTTTGGAAGAGAAAGTAATCACCTGCTTTGTGTGGATGCTGCGTTAACGTTCTGTAATGCTCTGCATGACCATAGGGGTATGTTCTATTGCAGGGTTACTCAACTTTAGAAGCAGTGGGGGCCACACTGATACTGACAGCACATTCTGAGGGGCGCAACTTAAGTGTAGCTGCATATACGTGCAAATAGCATCTTTCTCACTGATGGGCATGAATACAAAGATTAAGGCAAAACTACACAACATGCGGGCCCCATTTTAAGTCTGTTTTGCTGATATTAATAAAATGCAATATTTACCCGATTTCTACCCATACAACAGCACTTTTAATGAGCAATAACAGTCCAGGAATTTAACTACTAAAACACATATCAACAGAGGACTTTATATTGCTTCGCCACTATGGAGCATGTTCCCAGTGGAGGCCATGTTCAAAGGATCCCACCTGCAGGCCGCATGTTGAGCCCCGTGTAAACCCAAACCGCACCGCGAGCCACAAATAAACAGGCCGTGAGCCATATGTGGCTCATGGGCTATGTTGAGTAGCCCTGTTCTATTACATTTGGACAAAATTCCCCACCCCAATTGTTGCAGGGTAAGGAGTGGATGATAATTGGTGAAGACTGAATTTCAATAGTAAGGTATTTATAGAGTGTGCATTGTTGGTTTTTGTTTAGATCCAAAAAAATGCACGTACGTGTTTTAAAATACCAAGAAAGCAAATGTTCTTATTGTAGGCATTTCTACAGAGTCATCAACATTAGGGATGTTGGTTATCAGATACTTGAATAGTCGAGTAACCACATGAATTCTTATTGGTTGCTTGACTATTCTATAGTCTCCAGGGGTGGGGCCGGCAGCCAGTGTGCGCTGGCTCCACTCCCGGGGAGCCCCCATGCTGCTACCTCTATAACAGAGGCAGCAGCACGGGGTGCCAGGCAGGAGCCGGTCCACGAAGGGAGCCAGTTTAAAAACCAGCTCCCCGTGTAGGCTGGTTGCCTGCCATTCCACACTGCTGTCTCTGATACAGGGTGGCAGCAGTCTTTGTCCACGAGGATCTGAGTTCCCCACAGACAGAGGCTGCTCTGCCTCCCACAGCTGGTCCTGCCCCTTTGCAGACAGGGGCTGCCGCTGGGGACTGTCCTCGTTGGGCCTGGGCAGCTCCTGCTTCCTCTCCTCTTCCCTCCCCTTCCTCCCCCAGCTAGGGTTGCCAGATGGTTTCAACAAAAATACCGGACACACCTGACATTACATTACATCTTATTTAGAAAATACTGGACATTTATATTTTCTCCATTTGTTTCCCAATTGGAGAGCTCAAATACTGGACTGTCCAGTTCAAAACCGGACAGCTGGCAACCCTATCCCTTGCTGCCTCTGATACATAGGCAGCAGGGAGGAGGGGAGAAATGCATGTAGTCGACAAGATTCACTTACCAGACTAGGCTTATCGGTTAAACTTATAGTCGACTACACATCTATATCCCTGGTTCTTGTGTTGTTCTGCTTTTGATAAGGGAAAATGAATAAATAAGCTGAAGTTGAATGTCTGACTTTATTTTGAAAATACATGTTGGATCGGTAAGGGATAGACTATGACCTGGTTTAGGAACTTTAAAAATACTGATTGCTGCTTCACCAGTGACCAGTGTAGCACTATCCAAATCATGTCATCCCCATTGCCTCGGTTTGCTCATTTGTAAAATGGAAATATTCATTTTCAGTCTCTCAGGTGTTGAGATGATCAGTTAGTGTTTTGTAAAGTGCTGTGCATTTGTTGCAGATGTGCAACTACTGCTCTGTTCTTCAAAGTCTGTATGATAACTCTAGGACAATTTTCCTTTTGGCATTTGAAAGCTGGTGGAAATAGTGAAGGCTATTCCACTTGTAGGAGGTGCAGTGTCAGTGAGGTGCAGCTTAACTAGCACTAATTAGAGGCCCACATGTACTTTTCTCTGCAATTCAGAGGCCTCTCAATGACATACACAGTAGCTAAGCATGCTTCTGGGATTACACATGGAATTACACAAGAATTGCCACATATTAAGTACAACTTTGGGCTGTTCAAGGCAGTCCTGAAAATGTGAATGTCTTACACAATATATGATGGTTCAGAAGAACGCGAGAGCTGTTATACTGGGTTAGACAATGGTCCATTTTGTCCAGCATCTTAATTCCGACAGTGGCCCATGTCAGACCTTTAGGGGAAATGTACAGAACAGAGCAGTTTTAAAGTGATTCATCCCCATCTTCCACTCCCCCCCTCTGGTAGTCAGAGGCTTAAAGCTATCCGTAGCATGAGGCTGCATTTGTTCATCTTGGCTAATAGCAGTTGATAGACCTATTCTCCATGAATTTTCCAGTCCTTTTTTGAACCTAGTTATTGACACAGGATGCTGTGATGGCCAAAAGTATGAGTTGTAAAGGTTAGTTGTCTGCCACCTATTACTTTTGTCGAGTGACCCTTGGTAAATAACACTTCTCTCTTCACTTTTTCCACACTAGACATAATTTTATAGACCTCTATCATATCTTCCCTTAATTATCCTCCTTCTAATATGAAGTGTCCTCATCTTTTTAAGTCTCTGCTCATATAGAAGCTGTTCCATATCTTTAATCCTCTTTCCTGCCCATCTCTGAGCCTTGTCCAGTTCTACTGTATCCTTTTTCAAATACAGTTTTTAAAAGACTGCACCTAGTATTCAAGGTATTGGTGTGCTATAGATTTATATAGTGGCATTATGATATTTTCTGTCTTAATTTATCTCTATTTCCTAATAGTGCTTAACCTTCTGTTTGCAAGCATTAGTTTTTTTCCAACACTGTTGGAGACTTTACAGTGGGTATATTTTAAACAACACCAGTTGTAGTATAAAATGTTACCTGTATGTTGGTAAAGTTTAAAAAAACAAACAAAAAAAACCACCACACACTTATGTTTCAGGGTGGGGACTTTACCAACCACAATGGCACAGGAGGAAAATCCATTTATGGCAGTCGATTCCCAGATGAAAATTTCATACTTAAGCACGTTGGACCTGGTAAATACAGTTATCCCTCTTCTCTTCTGTTGAGTTACCTGTAATGATGATTACTTGTAGAAAATGTCATTTTAAGGAGCACGTGTTTGAGGTGGGTGAGGTATTTGTTACTTGCTTGAAGATCACTGAGGTGGTGTCCAAATGATTGACTATAAGTGGGTGCAGTGCAAATGATTGTAGACTAGAACATAATCACCTTAGGCTCTGTTTACAAACTGCCCCAAACATGGAACAACCAACTCTTTTTGCAATGTGAGTGAATTTGGCTAAATTTTCTCTTTTGTGAATCTCCTGATTCTAGTTTTTACCTAGATTAAAATGAAGTGGTCACAGTTCTATGTGACTGGTCAATATGGTATTGGCTGTCCTCCAGCTACATGGTGTGGAAGGGAACACGAAAGCTTTTAGCCAAAAGATCAGATATACCAACAGACCAGTTATAACAGTGTGTAGACAAAAGAGCAGGAAAAGCCGCATGTGGAGATGGGAGGAAAGCACCTAGTAACGTGCATTTATGCTAGAATTGCATAGATACTTCCTATCAGACTGTTCTATTTATCATGGGGACTTAGCACTGCTTTTCCCTATTTGCCGCGATAGAGGTTTCAAGATAGGCGGCACCTCCAGAGTCTCAATGGCAGATCAGCTAGCTGTGTTACAATGGCTGGAGGAGAAAGGAAGGAGAAGGAAAGGATGAGACATTAGCAGCCACGTTGAGGCTACCTGTCTAGTCTGCATACGCACTAGATTTCTATAGGCACGGGAAAAGTGTATTTTCTTTGCTGCACACTTTTCAGATGAAAACCTCTCTAATGCATTTGTTTCTGCAGGTGTACTCTCCATGGCCAATGCGGGACCCAATACAAATGGATCTCAATTCTTCATTTGCACTGCTAAAACTGATTGGTAAGTTTTCCATGGAAATACGTGTGCGTGGATCTGCTGTTTGTATTGATATTAATTGCTCTGCCATTACATGTCTTTCTATATTTGGGGAGGTTGGAGGAAACTGAGGACATAAGGGAGATAAATCAGAAAAAGTTTGTTGCTCTGTGCCTTTGAATGGGTCCAATAAGATAGCAAGAGATGATAATTATCTTAAAATGAAGGCATTTTTTTCTATCTCCGGCAAGTAAATGGGATGAACGTGACTGGAGGACTACTCTCTGTTGCATGTTTAAAATTTTCTCTTTTTAACTTCTAAAAGATTCTGGACACTGGGACTATTTCACTAAGCATTATGGGAGCTAGAAAATCTAAAATCTTGGTTAGCTGAAGATTCCTACCCTTTGCTCGTAATTACAACAATCCTGCAAGTGCATTAAGACACCCTGCAAAGCTGCAGGACAGTAATGAATGCCGTGTTTGCTTTCCCCTCCATGTTAAAATATTCCATGACAAATTCTCACAGTAGCCCTGTGATGTGTAGAATGCTTAATGACAAGTGGCAATGGAAAAGTTAAGCGATTTGGTCAATTCCAGGACCTCCATTCTCCCAGACTTGTTTGGGTTACTAGACACCATGCTCCCTTACAGTCCCTTTCAGACTTGATCCGGATGCACTTGTCAACAGATGTTTCTCCTGAGTACTTCAGTGAGTTTTGGATTAGTCCTACCTAGACCAGCTCTTGCTGTTCAGATATCCATCTTGACTGCTCCTGCCATCTGGAACGCACAGCTACAGAGTCTCATGTCAATATGCTTTGCCATTTCTTTCTAACTATACCACTTCCCTTCTATCTCTTTCTTCCTCTGCTATTGTTACTTAAGGCCTGAACTCTGGAATGCTTTACCTTCTTAAGTAATGGGCACTGTGCAAGATAAAACCATTATCCTGCTAACCTTTATTCATATGAGGAAGGGCCTGTAGGATCAGGTCCCAAGCTGTACTGAATATTTTTCTGCAAGTAGAGTTGATCAGAATGTCATTAGCTAGTTTGATTATGCATTCATATGCAACATTTCCCTCACTTTCAGTGTGTGTGTTTAGCTTACTATTGCTTATATTACTTATCTGTATTTATTTATATTACAGGCTAGATGGAAAACATGTTGTGTTTGGCCACGTAAAGGAAGGCATGGAAGTTGTGAAAAAAATAGAGAGCTTTGGCTGCAAGAATGGAAAGACATCCAAAAAAATTGTTATTACTGACTCTGGTCAGCTGTCGTAATCTACTGCCTGTAACTCAGGAGAACTTAGATGCTGTGAAAAGAAAACGAGCCATTTCTGATTTCATTTAGGGTTGTAAATTGCTGATGTGAAAATATATATATTTCTGTTCAAGATAATTCATTGAAGATACAATGATCAGGGACAGTAGAAATCTGAGGGATTCTGGATAAAATCTTTCTTCTTATGGGTAGGATCGGGGCAAGGGGCAGGGAGGACTTTTTGGCCTGAGAGCCAGAGTCAGTACAGAAACTATGCAGCCCCAGCTAGGAAAGTTTGTGGCCTGGCCCCAAACCCCTGTCCAACCTCCCCTCCCTTCCCCACCTGCTCCCTGTCTATGCTGCCCAGCATGCCAGGGCTGGTGCCATGGCAACCATGCTGCCACAGTAGTGGGGGCACCGTGGCTGAGGGAGACAGGAGGAGACGGGTCGGGGGTTACCGCCAAAGCTGTTTACCTCACTTCCTGGTGGGAGCTCAGGAGTTGTACTGAAGGGTCTGATGAGCTGGATGTGGTCCATAGTTTGCCCTCACTCTGGTCTAGCTGGCCCACATTTTCAATTTAACTTGGTCCTATTTTTACATTGTTGCATACTGCTATTTACTGAGAACAGTGAGGATTTTCTTTAATATTTATTAGCTTATTCAACTGAACTAACAAAATAGAGGCTGGACGGCCGGTAGTATCCTGCAAACTGGACTGCAGTCATCCAACGCTACATTTGGCAGCAATATAGATATTACTCTGGTCATAAATTACAAGGAACATTGTGAGCCTTAGCAGAATAGCTGAAAGTTTATCTTGTCAATCTGGCTAGTCAGTATTTGTGCCCTTCTCTGTCTCAGATGAATGTAAAATTAGTGTTTGACACATATAGCTGGGCACAGGGAATAAATTCATTATCTGGATATTTTAGGCAGTAGGTAAACAGTGAAATAATTAAGGATGTTGCATTTAAACTTTTGTAATTGGAGTTAAAACTATTCGTGAGGGTGAAATAAAGAATGCTGCATTTCCTTTGGTGCTAGGCTTCATTCCCATCTGGTTGCAGACTTGAAGTTAAATTGACAAAGTAAATTAGTTAATGCTCTCAAGGCTGTATTTTTTGCAAAAGATGACACATCTTACAATGCACGGAAATCCTGGGGTTTCTATTGTCTTGTGCCACTGCTAGTTCTTTAACAGAAGGGAGAAGCTTAAGACATAAAATATCTTATATCTAAGTTAATTGATCAAATTAAATTTTTGGTTTACATTAAACTGAGTTGCACACTAGCTCTAAACGTTTATTCGAGAGAGCCAGAACTGATCAAGTGACTTTTTTCGTAGTGCAACTGCAAGCTAACCTGTATTGCAGCTCTCTTTTAAAACTCCGTGAGGTAAAAGTAGTAGCAGATTTGGTACAGAATACTGTACCAAATTACATAAGTTTTACTGCTTTTCATTTTTGTTAGTACAGAATACTGTACCAAATGACAAATAAGTTTTACTGCTTTTCATTTTTGTTAGCCCTTCACAGCCCATCCTTCTTGGGGATGAGCTGGATTCTGTTTTTTCTGATGCATCATCATGAGAATGACACTGGAATAATTAATTTTAATTTAGTAACTGAGGCCTGGTTTCATCTGCAAAACCTTCATTTCTAGGTTTGATGCATGAGGAGGAAAGAATTCAGTTTTCAGGACTTGCAGTTAGGAAAGTACATCTTCACTTGTAAACTGTACGTCTGACAGGCAAGCATTGAGCAATAATGGTAAATAAACCACACAATGCCATGTCTAGAGTCACTTAAGTTGCAACTATATACGTATTAGTGGTGGAAGAAGTGCTTTGGTGGCTGGTAGATAACTATTCAGGAAATCAGAATAAAATGTGAAGGCTCTTATCAAATGTCACTTACCATCCATCATATAGAACAGCAATATGCAAGTTTAAAATGTATCTTGCACTGGATCCATGTTGTTTTAGCTAACTAAAGATTACACAAGTGTGTGTGATGGAATTTCAAGTGTAACTTCACCAAAAATGGGACTGAACAGCTTTTTATCATTGTTCCACTATTGATTTTTGTCTTCAAGTATTTTAAAATAATTTAAGTGTTTTGACTCATTTTGAATGATGTAAAAATCTTTTAATTTGTATGCAGAAAATAATTAAATATACTTGTTTTTGTAAAAGTCTGTTTCTTATGCAACTATTGATTGAAAACTGGCATGGGAACAGCTGAAATATCACTGTAATGATTATGGTTTACTCAGTGCTCTTGCCTCTGAAATTCCTTTGTGGCCTGTATCAATGGTCCTCAGAGTTGCCACTTCTTCATTTAATATACACTCAGGACTGCAAAGCAAACATGGCAGTGAGGTCCTGACTGACATGCAGAAGCTGATCTGAATGATTGTGCGAGTGACTCCATGAGTCTATTTCTTAACCCCTCTCAGTCCTGGCTGCTGGGACAGAGGGGAAAGGTGTGTGCAGGAGGAGAGGGATTCTTCCTTCTTGAATCGCTCTAAGAAGAAGAGTAAGTTGCTCCTCTCCTCCTAAGATGGAAGGAGTGATTGTGTGGGGTCCCTTTTCTCATGTGTTGAGTGGAGGTCTTCCTGGGAATATGGCAACTTCTTCCAGTACTGGTTTATTTTTCTCAGCTCCACACAATACAGTGCTAACTGTGTGTGGCCCCGTGAAATATGCTTTGACAAGTGCGTTCAGGCTGGGGATGTTAAAATATGTTTATTCTTGTAAACATTTAACCGCTGAAATGTTCAGCAGTTGTGTTTACATGCAGGGGGGCAGGCGGGAGCCTGATTAAAAGCTGGCTCTCCGTGAGCAACAACTTCTCCCTGCTACCTCCAATATGGAGGCAGCAGATTGGGGGGTGCATGTAACTGTGAGGGTTAACCAATGAGCTTATTGGTTAGCATCCCTAATTCAGCCCCCTTGGAGACCCACATGCTAGGCTGTGAAGGATGGCTTGCCTGTTATGAATGGCCTGCTTGTAACAATGCATAGTCCCCCACTTAGCACACAGTGTCAATGTTAATTTCTGACCCTGAACAATGATGCTACTCAAACTCTGTAAAACTAGGCATGATTGTTCCCACCATTGTGAACTCGTTTACTGCACTGATTTTGGTGGCTTTACTTTGGAACTACACAGGTGAAAATGAAGGTGTAATTATGCTACAAGTAATGTTGGATGAGTTATAAACCCTGCTCATGCTTCAGGGTATAAACTAGTCTATATTTAGGGATTAAAATTAAGTATTCCTGGGAGCAGATTATCCCTCATCTGCTATCTGTGGGTTTATGGCAACTTTGATTTCATGTTGGTCAGCTGTCTCATTCATTCTGACCATTCCTCTGTTCGTATTTGCCCAAGGTGTGTATGTGGGGGGTGGGGAGGCGGAGAGGAGTTGTGTGTTTGTGACTCAGATACTGTACAGTTCATTTTTATCTCTGTTCGTATTTGCCCATGGTGTGTATGTGGGGGATGGGGAGGTGGAGAGGAGTTGTGTGTTTGTGACTCAGATACTGTACAGTTCATTTTTATGATCAATACAAAATACATCTTATTAAATTATTTACCTATAATTGTCTAGTGTTGAGCTTCTCTATTAGATTTCTGGTCTCTCAATGTCTCATTAAATTACTTACCTATAATTGTCTAGTGTTGATCTTCTCTATTAGATTTCTGGTCTCTCAAAAAAAAAAATTATTGTAATCTCACTAACATTCATGCCTGATTGTCTTACGCCAATGGTTGCCAACCTTTTTAACCACAGGATCACTTTTTCAATATAAGTGCAATGTAAGATCTACCTCAAACCTACATACCCTTGCCCCTGCTTCCTTTCTGCCCCTTCTTTGAGGCCCTGGCCCTGCTCCACCCCTTCTCCAAGGCCTCACCTTGCTCACTCAATCCCCCTTCCTCCCCCATCCTTACTTACACGACACCAGCCTGGAGCAGAATGGTTTTAGGCTAAGGGGTTTGGCATGTGGGAGCGGCTCTGGGGGATAGGAGTGAGAGGACAAACTCTGGGAAGCAGTTTGGGTGAAGGGGGCCCCATGTCTGGGGCAGGAGGAGGTTCAGGAAGTAGGCTCCGGCTTGGCACTGTTTAATTGAGAGAGCTCCACTGTTCCAGCACCTGCAAGCTTAGGCAGATTTACTCCTGCCCAGGCCCTGCACCACTCCTGAAAGCAGCTGGCATGTACAACAATGGCTCCATGGGTTGCCCCTCATCTACCAGCACTGAGCACACAGCATCTGTTGGCCCCAGTTCCCCATTACTGATCAATCGGAGCTGCAGCAGTAGTGTCTGCAGGCAAAGACAGCATGTGCTCTGCCTTTCTCAGGTGCTGCAGGGACATGCCAGCCACTTCCAGGAGCAACAATTGTTACAGGGATAATTGCTCCAGCCACAACAGGTTAGGCATTTGAGAACTCACTACTCAATTAAATTTAAGCGCAAGAGAGAAATGAATATTATGAAATACACAGACCAGTCAACCACCAAAAATAGCCCCCTTTGCAGGTAGTACAAGAAGTAACAACCCCCTATGTATGTGCTGGGCTGGGAGATGAGTGAAGGACAGTTTTTGTGAAAATGACACACATACATGGTGTGACACACACATAGTTGGATTGCTAGATTCCCTCCAATCCCTTCTCTGTGTGGAGATGGGGTACAGAAGTGGGGGGAGGAGGGGCACTCTAACATCTGAGTCCCCGCTTCTTGCTTCCCTCTGCCCCCTGCACAGCAAGCAGGCGGCTTCTGCTGGAGCAGCTGCAAGGCAGGGGGGGAAGCAGGGGAAATGTAGTGCCACTGGTTCATAGCTTCCCAGCCAAACCAGGTAGGATCACCTGTCAGATCTAGTGATAGATCCCAATCTAGTGTTTGGTGACTTATGTAGATGAGAGTTCTTTTAAAATAGGTTGTGTGCATGTGGAAATTAAGGCCAGAAGGGGCTATTCAATTCACTGGCCTGACCTGGCTAACACAAGTTCTCTTAAAATAGGTTGTGTTCATGTTCAAATTAAGGCCAGAAGGGGCTATTCAATTCACTGGCCTGACCTGGCTAACACAACATAAAATTTCACTGTTGTTCCTGTACTGAGCTCAATAATGCCTGTTTGACTAATGCATAACTTCCAGAAAGGCCTCCAATATCGATCTGAAGATCTCAAGGGATAGAGAATCTATAACTTCCCCTGGCAATTTGTTCCAGTAGTTAATTATTCACTAGGG